AGTGCGCCTTATAGTCGTGAAAATACGGTATACATATATATATATATATATCATTTATTTAACATTTTATTGATTATCTTTCCTCTATGTTTAAAGTGTTGTCTACTGAAACATTTCCCACTAATCATGCAATGTTTAGGGTTTTTGCAGACCTAAATAAAAAGAACAGTTTTAGCCGCCATGACTTCTTGGAATTCAGAAGGTTGATGATCAATGGACCCTGTAGGATTTAGTTTATGCTGCACAGAACTACTGAGCTCCAGACTGGGTTTTAAATGCTTTTAATAAGAAAGGGACAAAGCTTTCTTTCTTCCTTGTTTAAAGAGATTGGGTTCCCACAACCCACCCCTGAGGCCCCACTGCAGAGCTGCAGCAGGTAGCACACAAACACAAATCCCAGTAGCACAAGTGCTCTGTACACATAATCTATCTGAAGCAATGCAAAAGAACCACGTCTTAAGAATGAAAAAGAAGTTAAGTAATTTAATTCCGTGGATGAGGGTTAGTTGAGAGTGCAGCATATAGATTAAAAAAAAAGCCAAAACAGACTAATTTAGGTTACCTAGTGAAGTGGGACTGGTCGACCAACCATTTCTCTCTTTACTTTGTCTTACATGTATGCTTTTTTTAAGGCATAAGCTTAATTTATGGCCTCAAACGTGCAGATATTTTTGGGGTTATTAAATATGGTCATGATTCAGCAGCTGTTAATTCAAGACAACAATCTGCAAAATATTACCTGAACAACTGAGAACAGGCCCAATACATTTAATGAAGAACTGCCAATAAATATACACTCAGTTACCCTCCATGTACCTTTGTTTCTTTTAGTTATTTTTAAATACCCACAGTCCACAGATCTGTAGATTGTGGTTGTTTTGTAATTGAAATTTAAAAAGTGACCTTAGCAGCAATGAAACGCAACTTTAAAAAAACCCAGAGCCAAAGCAAACGAATGCTTGGCTAAGTAATTCTACACACTGCAATTAGGCTTCTGTATGTTTCTGTGTGATTAGACAGATCACTAAAATGGTTTCAGCACTTAACTAATGGATGTCATTTAACTTTGATGAAAATGTCACATGAATTAGAGAATGCAGAACAAATTAAAATTGCACTAACAAGAGGACATGGATAGAAGTACTGTCTGATAGTATTCTACTTTGAAAAAGCAAACTTGTTTTTACAACTTGTCAGGTAGCAACCACAGATTTCATATTTATAATTGGGATTTTATGTGATAGATTAGCACAAAGCAGCACAATTTTGAAGTTGTATTCATATTCAGTTTTATTCTGGTACATCTTGATAAAATGAATTGTGACCGATTGCTTTTTTAAATCTTCTACTTATCTAACATAGTCCTTCTGCTTGTGTTTTATTGTCATAATGAAAACAGCTGTTATGTAAATGCCTATGAGGTTTGTTAGAGACCACTGGTAAATAATTAGCATATAAAGGCTGATTTATGCTCAGAAAACAGGTTGTCCGTGTGTGTGTAATTGAAAAAGGTTTAATTTTTTTTTCAATTGTTGCACAGGGCATGTTAAATAAAAGTCAAGATCCTCCTTTTGTCTATGAAGACCTTCCCTCCTCTGCTAACCCTAAACAATCTATTTTCTACCCTTAATCCTCTTCAAGGTCCTCCGAGTTAATCTGAGGTTGTAGTATCTGCCAGTAGGACACATTTTAGTTGCAACCTTTATAAAATTGCCCTTTAAAAGTAGAGAGGAAGAAGGAAAGCTACTGTTAAAGCATGTTATAGAAATTACTTTTTAAAATGTACAACTCATAGGAGACATATTGAGAAAAAGGGTAATATGGTGAGGTGAGACCAGGGGCTGAACTTTCTGGCATGCTATGATGGTGGCAGCCCTAGGATACTTTTCCTTAGTAAAGACAGGGAAAGGACAATTCTGAAAGAAAACCTGTTAGAGGCTACGAAATAGAGGCTATATATATATATATATATATACACACTACCGTTAAAAAGTTTGGGGTCACCCAAACAATTTTGTGTTTTCCTGAAAAG